ATATATATATATATATATATATATATATATATATATATATATATATAGGTTGATTTGTTTGTTTTGATGCCACTAACTTTTGGATGCATTCGCCCATCAAAAGGTATGATTCCACCTTTATGGACATTGCATAGTTGTAATGCAAAAAAGTTGCTTTTATCACCTACAAAACATGTTCTAATTATTATTATTTTTTGATTAATTATGTTTCAATTAACATATTCAAAGGCGGAGCCAGGATTCTCTTTTCGAGGGGGCAAAAATGACCCAAATAAATTCACTAATTGACCCAAAATATTTAAAGTTCAAGCATAACAAAGTGTATTTAGATAGAATCAAAGATTAAATTACTATATGAAACTACAACATGAAATTTCGTTTAAAAATGATCTATAAATATAACTTTTAAATGTCAAAAATAGGCAATAATTGATTGATTTTAAGCTAAATTTCAAAGTAATTTCTTTTTAGTGTAAGACAATATCAAATTCTATGATAAAATTATTTTTTCTTTTGTTATGAAACATCATCGAAATCGTTCTTCATCTTATTAAGAAATTGATTCTAGAAAGAGTAGATAATTATTTGAGTTGAGGCATTTTACATTTTTCTCTATAAGTGAGAGTTATTCCTAGTAGAATAAAACCAAAAAATACAATGATTTAGAAGAGAGGTGTAAACCCTCCTTCAGTTAAAAAATAATAGATAAAAATCAGAACTTGAGTATCATAGATGTAATTGTACTGCGATCTCTCGACATTCTTTCATACCAATTATGGATCGGGCACCATGGCAGGCGGTAGGGAGATCGCCGCCCAAGGAATTCAATAAAATATATAAAGTGCGTACCACTCTTATGACTAGATACATTTCTCCAATCCCAAAAAAAAAAAAATATTTGGCAACTACTCCTTGAAAATCTGTTTGAGTTACTTGAATTTAAAATGTTATGATTTGATTAATCATAATTATTGAATACATAATAAATTTTAATAAATACTAAAACTCACATGCACTAGCATGCCACTAAGATTGAATGAATGTGGGCAAAAGTGATGCCTTTCTTTATTCATTTTTTTTGTTTGATATATGAAATGAGATTTTACGTGTCAATCATATGTTCAAATATATTATTACTCCTTTCGGTCATTACTATTCTCTATTCTCGGAACAACTCAACGAATAGAGAACCAAGCAATCGACCATTTACCACACCTCAAATTCGAAATCAAAAAGATCTAGTGATGAACAACAAAATAGACCTTCTTTTTCATATTCTTCTTCAGCTAGGCATATTATGAGGATTTGGAGTGTCAACTGGTAGTTTGATGGGATTAATTGATGTGTCTTCTGTTCTTAAATCTTTGATTCACTTGTATAGCTGTTTGACGAGTGGGGTGTGGAGTTGAAACCTTCTGGCAGAATTTTTAGCACAAAAATTTATTGCTTATAATAGATTATTCTGTTTTGCTGAATGTCTCTCTCAAGATTTTTTTATTACTTTTCCCGGCCTTTTCTTTGTAAAGCTGCACTTATATCAATATAAAATTTTGTTTATTTACCCCCCAAAAAAAAGGTTAACATTTTACTCTAAACTATTTCATTCATCCATGATTTGTTCACAATAGAGGCCAAGCCGTGACGTAACGAAAAACTTTGTTTAATACGATTATTCAACAAATTATCATTAACGACTACGGCTCCCTAGACCATAACAGACCTACATATCTTCTCCTGAGAGTCAAAGTGAGAGGTACATATTTAGTGGAAGCAGAGAGAGAGAGAGAGAGAGAGAGAGAGAGATTAAATCGGAATTTATAAGAAATTAAATATAGGTTTGGCCACTCTTTGTAAGCAGTGGGGTCATTTCTTCATGTTGTATGTCGCCCGAGTGGGTGGTGGGTAGAGGTGGTAAATGGGTGGATTAAGTTGTTTATGATTTGGGTTAAATTGAATTGAGGTAAAATAAATTCAATTCAATTTTTACTCACATAATAAATGAATTATAATGGATTGGATTTATAACGGATTAGGTTAAACTCATTAACTCATAAATCACACACACACAATTACACCAAAATAAACACACACACTATTACATCAAAATACATACATACACATATACTATTATACCAAAAAACACACACTAGTACATCAAAATAAACACACACAATATTTCACTAAAATACACACACACTTACACCAAAATAAACACACTACTGCACCAAAATACACGCATATATGCACACACATAATATTACACCAAAATACACACACATAATATTACACCAAAATACACACACACTAATCATAAAAAAAATATACTCAGTGTCGCTTACAAACACACAAACTTGATGCAATGGGACATACAAACACTTACACATTGACAAAATAAAAATACAAACACAATTATTGTTCCATCGCATAGCATATTTCATACTAATTATTCACATCAATCCTTCATCATAAGAAGAAATAATCCAAAAAAAAAAATACACATAATCATTGCACCAAGTCTCCCTATCATTTAATACTCACAAGTTGGGTGGAGCAAATG